TTCATTTAGATCCCTTGTATTTGCAGAAAGTGTCGAAGTGAAAATATAACTGATATTCTATTTTTTCATCACTGACTGATATTGAAATTTTTGTTTATATTTTTTGGGTTGAAAATGAAGGATAGAAACTTTGGTTAGTGTTTATTTTATTGGATGTTGCAGTAAATTTAAATTTTTGTGAAATAGAACAGTTATGAGAAGAGTTTTAACAAAATAGTTTTAGCAAAACAGTTCTTAAAATCTTAGAAAATTGTTTTAGCAAAAAAAATTTATACAGAAACTATTTTATACATTGTGAAACTGTTTTAGTTGTTTTATCTTATCGGGTAAACCGATAACCGAACCGATAATGATCGATAACCGATTAACCGATAACCGATAACCGATAACCGATAACCAATATCTTATCGAATTGGTTATCGGGTTATGATATTTGTTAACCGATAACCGATAGGCAAAATCGATAATATTCATAACCAAACCGAACCGACTAATGTCCACCCCTAGTCCAACCCGCCCAGAGATTAATGGGTTGGGTTACAAACATTTTAGCTCATGGGTCAATTTGGGCTGAGCCCAAGTTAATCCATTATATTTTATAACCCTTTCTCACCCATTAAGCAGCCNCCCCTACCTCCACCTCCAATTGTTTTTTCAACTTACACATTTTACGGTAAAAGACTTTTTTTATGCAAGATGTGCATGGTTCTAACACATGGCTCAAGTTGGGCGGGTTGGGTTATGACCCATTGTTTAGCCCATCTTAGCCCAAGTACACTTTTGGCTGGGTTGGACAATGACCCATTTATTGACCTAACCTATCTTGACCCGTAAAAATTCAACCCAACCCACTCATTTGCCACCCTAGGGACTAGGTATGTGATGACCCAAAAGGTCATCACTTATTTTTAAATTTAATTCTGCGTTCTGAAGCCTTAAAAACCTCTTTTAGCATCACCTAGATTTATGTGCACAGTCCGGACGCGTAGCCGGAAAGCTTATATGTGAAAATCTATGAAAAATGATAAATTTCGACTATAAAATGAATTAATTTGACTTCGGTCAATGTTTTGGTTAGATGGACCCGGACCCGCGATTTGATGATCCCAGAGGGTCCGTAGGAAAATTTGGGACTTGGGCGTATGCCCGGAATCGAATTCCGAGGTCCCAAGCCCGAGAAATGAATTTTTAAAGAAAATTATTTTCTGAAATTGTTTAAAGAATTTGGAAATGAATTTTGATTAGAACATGTTGGTATCGAACCCGTATTTTGGTTCCGACGCCTGGTACAAGTCTTATATATGATTTAAGATAATTCTGTGAAGTTTGGTTAGAAACGGAATCCGTTTGACGTGATTCGGACCTTAAATGCAAAATTTGATGTTTTAAGAAGTTTTGAGATATTTCATTGATTTTGAGGTTTAATTCGTTGTTTAAGGGGTTAATTTGGCGATTTGATCGCACGGATAAGTTTATATGATTTTTTAAGTTAGTACGTATGTTTGGTTTGGAGCCCCGAGGGCTCGGGTGTGTGTTTAGAAGGTTTTTGAACTCATAAAAGTTGCAGGTTTTTGCTATTCAGTGCCCAAGGATTCTTTTCTTCGCGTTCGCGTGGGCACACTCGCGAACGCGTAAGGCAAATCTCCCAGGTGCCAAATTTCTTCTTCGCGAACGCGAAGCTGGTGACGCAAACGCGAGGCTAAGGGGGGATACCCTTCGCGAACGCGACCCAGCATAAACGAACGCGATGGCTTATGAGCATGGGCGGGCGGGGNTGAGTATTGGTGTTAGCTGAGATGAGTAGAAGTTGGGTTAAGATTGGTTATAGTTGTTTCTCCCTTGCCGGAACGTATTTACTTTTACTGTCGAATCCCTTGCCGGGATAGTGTAGCTTATTGTTGATCCCTTGTCGGGACTCTTGGTATGGTTGTTGCTAGAGGTATATAAATGTTATGTTAGATCGGGTTGCACCCAGCAACAATACTATATATGGAACGGGTTGCACTCTACATCAATGTTATATTAGATCGGGTTGCACCCAGCAACAATACTATATATGGAACGGGTTGCACGCCGCAACAATGTTATGTTGGATCCGGTTACACGCCGCAACAATACTATATATGGAACGGGTTGCACTCTACATCAATGTTATATTAGATCGGGTTGCACACCGCAACAATGTTATATTGGATCGGGTTGCACGCCGCAACAGTGATATAAATGGATCGGGTTGCACGCTGCAACAGTGTTAAATGATAGGAATTTGGTTGCGCGCTACAACAGTGTTATTATGGTTTTGTTGTAAATCTTGAATTGTTCTCTCATATTTCTCTTAAGTTTCTGCTGGATTCGATATTTCCCCCGTAGCATGTACCCCTTCACATGTTAATTGTTTATTCTTATTTATTTCCCGCTGTATATTATATAACTGCACAAGTTTATCTGGAGTCTGGTCCTAACCTCGTCACTACTTCGCCGAGGTTAGGCCAGACACTTACCAACACATGGGGTCGGTTGTGCTGATGCTACACTCTGCACTATGTGCAGATTTCGGAGCAGCTTTTGGATAGTAGCACTTGGGGAGCCTGCCTTTAGTCCAGCCAGAGATCCCGAGATAGTCCAGCAGGCGTCCGCAGGCCCGACGTTCTCTTCTACTTTATTATATACTCTGTTTTTATTAGATTTCGAGACAGATTGTATTTCTTTCAGACATTTGTTATAGTAATCTTAGTCCGTCCGTGATATTGTGACACCAGGTTCCGGGTAGAAGTGTGTTGTCATTATTGTACTGGTCTTGGTTATTATATTAGATTAAGTCTTCTGCTTGATTTCATTTATCGTTAATATCTAAATGTTGGATACCGGTTAATTCAGATTGTTAAAAAGGATTAAAAATGAAGGAGTTAGAAATTTCTATGTTTAGTGGCTTGCCTAGCTTCTACGAGTAGGCGTCATCACGACTCCTGAGGGTGAAAAATCCGGGTCGTGACAAGGTAAGTTTAATATTAACTGATATTTAACTAACATCGAGCAATTTCGAAATAGAAATCTCTATATAATTTTACAATCCCAAAAACCGATAGTACAAGTCATAAGCTCTATAGAAATTTTCATCCATTGGGTATCGTGACACTGCTAGGAGTTCAAAAGTTTTTTGTTTTGTCAAAAAAATACTTTTTAGAAAATTTAAGGTGTTTGACTAAAATGAAAAAGTACTTTTGAGCAGTAGGAAAAGCTAAGAAGCAGAAAACTAATTTATTCAAGACAAATATAACCTTACAATAAAATTTATAGTTTTTAAATTATCCCTCATTAATTCAATATTTTTTTCTTTTCCTTTTTTTTTTAAAATTTATATTATACATTTTTTCTATTTTTATTTTAATCATATTTTATTCTCTTTCTTTAATTCCTACGAGTAGATTTTAAATTTATGTTGAATGATATATTTTTATATATTTAAATTATCATATAAACAATAAATAATACCAAACACTTAACGTTATTGCTTTGAAATAAATATATTTAATATTGATTGGGAGTTTTAATTTATATTTTTTCGTTACGTTTTATATTTTAATTTGAATTCTTTTATAATAAATATTTTAATTTGAATTCTTTTATAATAAATGTTTTAATTTATATTTTCAAAATAATACTAATCGCAAATTGAACTTTTAGTGTCCTTTTTTTTTTTTGATATTTAAATGTATTTTTTAAAAGATTGGGCAAATACAATGAACTTGTAAAAAGCACTATTCAAATAAATTGATTAAATATAAAGTATTATTTTGAATTTTTTTTTAAAAAAAAATATTTTTCAAAATAAATTATTTTTGACAGATTGACTACACTGCTCTTACTCACAGTCATAGAGCCCTTTTTGACGCTTTGTTAGTTGAAAACAATTGAATTATTTGAGGAAAAGTCGCGTATAATGTGTGTGGCCGACACCTAATCATATCCTCTTATTGATTTTGATCTGTCACGTTATGGGCCCCACTAGAAGAGTGGGGGTCTTGGCTTGCCATGCTTTCCAAGAAAAAATCTTCAATATCCTCCAATATGTTTACTATAATTTCAACTTTAGTCCCTACGGTTTTGTTAAAAGTTCTATTTCATGCTCTTTTTTTTTTGGGTCTCCAAATAAGGAACTTTAATACTCATTATTGAACTAGAGAAGTCATATATGTACATATGAGCAGAAATCTCATTTTACAAGTCAATTGGAGGATACACACATTCCTATGAGACTTCATTTAGCAAAGAAATAATAGGGAAAAGTGAGTTAGACTTAAGTGTATTTTGTATGAAGTAAACTATTTTTTAATATTTTCGTATTTAGTTGGATTAACTATTTTAAAAAATATTTTTCATCTAAATTTCCGACTAAAAGAAGAAGAAATATTTTTCAAAATTCTTTTTCCATCATTTTTCTCACTCCATCTCCTCACCCCGCCACCCCCACCCCTAACCTCGCCACCGCCATCTCGGCCCCTAGACCTTGACCAATTATCCTCCTTGCCATCGCCACCTTGGCCCCTAGACCCTAACCAATTATCCTATTTGTCCTTACCTATTCCGTCTCTCATAATATTTGCCTAAATTATATAATTTTTCAAAAAATATTTTTTGTTACCTAACCAAACACCATTAAAAAAATTTCAAACCTTCTTTTTTTTTTTTTTTTTAAAAAAAGTAAGTAGTAACGTCATTGAAAGATGCACTAATTAACGCATTATCAATTTGAAAAAGAAATAAGTTGATTACATTTTTTAAGACTAGACCAAACTATATAGAGAGGTAAATGGTTTATAGTAGAGTACTAGTACTTTTAAGAACCGAATTGAAATCTAAACGAAAATGCAGGGACGAAAAATGCATTTTTGCTTTCTTGAAGTGGTATTACCGAATTGGGAAAAATCACTATTTATTGGTCGGTATATCAATAATGAAACTTAACGAAAAGCTACCTCTATATATAGCAACTCCATAATATAAACCTCCTCACTATTCAAACCAATCTCCAACACATAAAACACAGTTACTTATTCTCTTCCTTTTTCACAAGAAAATATCATGAATTTCCTCTCATCTTTGGCTAAGAGCGCCGGCGGTCAATCCGCCGACGAGCCTAAGAAAACCGCCGGTGAGGAAGCTTCAACTACTGACCTTTTTTCTAGTGCTAAAGTGTTAGCAGAAGCAGCTCAAAGTCAATTCAACAAAGATTCCGGCAAGATCGATAACAAAAAGGTGGCTGCTGCTGCTGCTGATGTTCTTGACGCTGCACAGAAATATGGAAAGTTAGATGAAACTCAAGGTGTTGGACAGTATGTTGAAAAAGCTGAAACTTATCTCCACGAGTACGGTTCTGCTAACCCATCCACCACCACCGATGCCGCCGCTGCAAAGGCTCCGGCAGCCGCACCAGATACCGAAGAAACAAAGGCACCGGCACCGGCTCCGGCGGCAGCAGATACTGAAGAAACAAAGGCACCGGCACCGGCTCCTGCGGCAGCAGATACTGAAGAAACAAAGCCACCGGCACCGGCGGCAGTAGATACTGAAGAAACAAAGCCGCCGGCACCGGCAGGGTAAGATAATTTAATTAAGTAGTACTTTCTCTGTCGCAATATATGGAGTAATATATAAGTGGACTTGCCAAAGAAAAAAAGAAATATTTTGAAATTTGGAATCTAAAATAAGTCATAAGATATTTGTATAGTGTTAAATTATTGAATTAGTTAATTAAAAGGTTAAATTGTTACTTCTTCCGTCGTCCCATTTTATCGTCCCATTTTATGTAACACCGTTCGAAGTTTGACTCGTCCTAATGTATGTGACGCTATTTGGTTTAAATTTTGAGATTCAAACTCTTAGTTTTTATTATAAATTTGGACATATAATTTTTAAGTTTTTTAAGTATTACTTATATATTGAAAAATTATGTAAAAGATAACTACTACTATAAATTACAATAATTAATCATTCAAATTATTTTAAAAAAATATGAAAAGATGGCATTCAATGAATAATGTGTTTGACTCTCAAAATTTGAAAAATGATAGAGGGGAGTAAGTATAGAAAGATGTATATTATTCTTTTTGGGACTAATTAAACGGGAAAGAGTGTTTATGTAAATCGGAACAAAGAGTGTACTTTTTAATGGTCACATGGTTTGAGATTAACAAACAAAGACTTTGAAAATTTGTAATTTAAAATATACAATAATATTTAAGTTGCTATAAGACTTTTAAATTTGTGATATTAAATATTTATAACATGTGTATTAATAAAATTTTTGTTATTAAAATTAAATTGTGTTCAAATTTAGAAAAAATGTCATTTTTTAGTGATTTGTATTCTGACGACTTGTATGTATCCTTGGACACAGATACCGAAGAACCACCGGCACCGGCACCAGTACCGGCACCGGCACCGGAAGAGAAGGGAGAAGGGTATGGGCAATACGTGAAAATGGCCGAAGGATTTCTGAAACCAGGAGATGGTGAATCGGCGAAAGCATCTGAAGGAGGATCAGATTATCTTAAGATGGCCGGTGACTTCTTAGGCAAGAAGTGATTAGTTTAATCAGATTTTTTTAATAATGGCTGTTATTTTCCAAGTTTTTTTTCTTTCATTTTCTTTGCCACTGTTCAGTGTTCATTACCGGCGGCGAATTTCTCCAGTCGCCGTCGCCGGAGCTGGTTTTTACTTGGCATGTATGTAATTTGTGTGTGCTTTTTTTTTTTTTCCAGTATGATTTTTAGAGTGTAATGGAATTTGTGTTATATGGATAAAGTGTGATCTTTTATGATGTTATTGGTGTATATGATATAGCGTGACTCTTAATTATATTTGTCTTCCATTTATTTTTGATGTATTATATATACTAAATAATATAATTATTTTTATGTTATACATTTGGATATAGAGACAATAATTATGAACAATTATATATTTATAGTTTTATATTTTAGATTTTGATATATTTTTGACGTACACAAAGGAAGAAAATAAAATTATAATACATGTTACATATTATTATTGCGATATATATTTGTTGATTATTTGACACAAGTAAATAAGAAATATGTTAATTCTGCCAATTTAATAGGTTGAATTGATACATAGCGCCAAATTCCCTTTATTTTTCTCCATTTCTTTCAATTTTCCTTTTGTAATGCAACTTGAGAAATTACTAAATTGACTAAGAAAGTTTTGGAGATCATGAAATTAATTGGTGGCTTTGGGCAATATTAACTTTGGTTGAAGTTGGAAAAATATTGAAGTTAAAGTTTAAAAAGTTAAAGTTTGTCTTTTAGATATAAATTTTACTTAAAAAAACCTATAGTTCGATACTTCGGTAAGTAAAATATCAATTAGCTTGAAATATTTTAAGTTTTCTTATCATCATCAGTAAACTTTAATTCACATTGATCATATGCGAACGTAGTTTTAAAAAAAATATATCAACATATATTAATTATATATGTGAGCAAGCTGACGAGTTCGTACGGAGTCGTTACACGTCTTTTGGATCCCAGCTTTCAGCATATATTAATTAAGTAGATAATCAGTTTAATCTTCAAATTAAATGATTTTTACAATCTTTTAAGTTCAATTGATATTTATCAAAAAAATTATATTTAATTAGTATAAAAGTGATCAAATATAAAATATTTTACGTGCCGTGGAATCAGGGCCGGCTAATGCGTTGAGCAGTAAGGTTTTTAGGGCCCCCATTTTTTTAAAAATAATAAGTTTATCAGTATTTAAAAAATATTAATATTAAGTACTTTTAATACAAAAGTAGAGTTCTTAATATAAATAAAAAGACAGATCTTTAGATACATAAATAAAGTAATAATTTGACTTGCTTAAATATGGGGAGATGAATAGTTTTCCCAACTTTCCAATTTTTCACTTCTTACTCTTTCATTAAATAACGTATAAAAATTTTACTCTCCCTTTCTTAATTTGTCCAAGTCAATCTTCCTTTTCCCAATCTCTTCATATTTCAAAAAGCCCTACATATTTTTTGTATTTTTCTTTAATATTCTTACTCACCTTCTTTCTTCCAGAAATTTAAGCTTCCAATAGTTCTATACTTCCATTGCTCTAAAAAATCTTATCTAAAATTAACAAATCTCAAGAAAGATTAAATGAGTTGTCTATATTATCAATTGAAAATGAATTATTAGGGAAAATCGATTATACAAAGAATTATTAACACTTTGTATCTCAAAAAACTAGAAAAATAAATTTTAAATAAAAACATATCATATAACTTTCTTTTAAATATTTAGGTCTCATATTAAACTTTAACTTTGAGCCACGTTTATATTTGAACGTCCTGCCTGGAATAAATTTGTTTCTCTTGAATGAGAGTAAAATTATAACTTATAGTACGAGAAAATTCTTTTTCCTTGGTTGTTCGTATTCTACGCATGCATTTTATTTTATCTGAATAATAACAAGGCCGAAGCTGTAGGGGGAGAAATTCAAAAATAATCAGATTTATAACTGGTCGTTCAAAAATAGTCCAGTTTCAAAAGTAATCGAAATTTAGTCACTTTTTATGTAAAAATAAATTTGAGCGAAAACACTGTTCAAAATCCGGAAAATATGCCAGTATATTATGCTGGAAATTCCAGCACAAGTATACTTGAACTCCAGCATATTATACTGGAGTTCCGGGATAAGTATGCTGGAACTCCAGCATAATATGATGGAGTTCCAACATAAATACACTAGAACTCCAGCATAATATACTGAAGTTCTAGCAAGTATATTTGTCCAGCATAATATACTGGAGTTTGGAGCACTGGTGCCCCAGTTTCCAATATATTATACTGGAGCCAGCAAAATATACCGATCCAGCATAATATGCTGTAGTTCATACACAGGTGCACCGAACTCCAGTATATTATGCTGGACCGGTCTCTCTTGCAGCAAAATAGTGGCTATTTTTCATTAACTTGGTAAATATTGGCTATTTTTAAATGACCAATCCGAAAACTAACTATACCGTGCTATTTTTACGTCACATTTACACTTTTAGGCGCATATTATTGCTGTCGGGTTATTTACGAAAGGTGTTAGGCAGCAAACCTAAACACGTTCTTTCTATATTAGCCTTTCAATTTACAGGATTCATTTCCTTTTTTCCTTCGTCTGTTTTCATACACGCCTAATTGTCGTACTCTACTACTCTTTGAATACTGAAAATATTTTACTCATCTCCATATTTTGGCAAATAATATACAAGGCTATCAATATGTTTTCTATTTTCTATTTTTTAATCTAACTATTAATAAGGGGGAATAAGCAGGCAACAGGTCAACATGCCTGCTTAGGATATAAAGGGTAGTTTGGTTATTTGAGCTAAAATAGAACATAGTGATTGATTAAAAAGATATGTAGCTCATACATATCTTTTACTAACAGTAGGGGTATATTCACCAATGGCATTTAGCAAACAAAAAAACCAAAAAATATTTATATAGTCGGACTAACTAACAGTGCAAGATACAACGGACTTTGGCCCTCCAAAATCACATTCGCCTCCCCTCTATAACAAAGGATATTTACAAGACAATAGAGGATTTTTCTTTTCTGTTTTTTGTTTTTACGACACAGAATTTTGAATAGAAAAAATAACGCTACAAAATATCTTACTAATATTTAAACTAATTTTTATTTACTACTTATATTTTACAACTGTAAATCACGTGTCCATTCCTCAATTATCCAACTCTAACTCATAGCTGCTCCCCATATTCTGTATTAAGCTTTCTGATTTTTTACGATTATTAGGGTATTTTTGCTACTAAACAAGAAAATGTTCTACCTTAGATTATTTCCTAATCAGTTTTTAAAATATAGTTAGGTAATATACCCTGAAGGAGGACGTCACCATATCATCTTGTGAATTGGAGGTTTAAAACCCTCCCNATCTCTATACTAATTTTCAACTAGGTTTTAAACAATAGTCTTAAAATCAAGGGCGGACGTAGAGTATAGAATATGGGTTTCCGGGAACCCAGTAACTTTTGCATAGACCCTGTATTTATATTAAGAAATTTATTAAATATTTATAAATATCTAACTGTGAACCCAGTTATTATTACATATTAATCTAAAATTACGGTAGGAACCCATAAGCCTCAAATCCTAAATCCACTTAAAATTAGCTAATGGTGTACTTCTCCCCTTTATCAAATTTATAAATATAGATACTTAGAAATGCAAGAAAGAAAAGCAAAAAAGTTTTATAATACTATATAACAATATGTTAGCATTTTTAGACTATCTATAATAAAAGAATGTCACAGTAAAATAAACGATTTTTTTTCATAAATAAAATGGCCGGAGTATTAATTATGAATCTTTCATTTTTCTAGATTAAATATGAATACAAAAAGATTATGAAAGTAATAATACCCGAAATGAATTGAAATGGCGATTGTCCATGTGTTAAATGGAAAGATTTGGAGGTACAACGTGTAATGCTTTTTTGGATATTTCTTGTAATTTTTAAACTTAGATATATCATAAAAGTAAATCTCACAGATAGATATATTGTGAAACTTTACCAAAATATTCTCGCGTCACATAATACAGCACGAGCCAACCTTCACTAGTCTAGCGTATAAGCAACAATGATTCAAATCATTCTTTACTACTGTAATTTTTTTTTATTGGTTTTCTTATTATTATTATTATTATTATTTTGATGTCTAACCTTTTTACCTTTGTATTTTTCAAATTTATTTTGAAAATATTTTTCTTGAGCCAAGGATCTATCGAAAACAACATTTTTATTTCTTAAGGTAGGAATAAGGTGTGCGTATACCTCACCCTCCTAAGACGCCACGTGTAGAAATACATTGGATATGTTGTTGTTGTTTTTTAATTATCTTTGTATAAGTTGTTTTTTCCTGTTTAACATAACGTCTGATTATTTTTCTATGGAATATAAGGGCCACGAGAAAGTCTTTACATATACAAATGCTTGGGCCGCCTAGTTATTAATGAAGCACCAGCAGAACCTTTACTGTTGAATTTATTTTAGCAGTTGGATTTATAGCATATGGAATTTGCATGAACAAGCACAAAATGACATAGGTGATGAGACATAATTTCTTAAAACTAAAATTACAAATATAACAAGGATCGTACACTTCAATAAGATATATAATTATTGAGTACTCTAAAAACTTAGCTTATGTTAATATTGTTTACCCGTAAAACGGTACAGTTGAATTTATACGTAGTTTATTGACTAGGAAATCGATTTGATCCCAAATTAAGTAAGAATACAAGATTTAGCGTTAAAATTGAGATATGACGATAGAGAGCTTGGTTCCGGGAACAGAACTTCCGAAGGCAATAATAACGATCTTAATGAGCAAGAAAATGAAATTTTTATTGAGGTTTGAACAATATATCACATAAGTTTGTCAGATTTTTTTTACAATGGTTGTTGAGCTCACTATTTATAATTGCACATAGGGAACAAAGTCCTAAGATCAAGCTCCTCTTAAATGACAATTATGGTGTCTTTGAATAATGTATAACGACATACTATGAATGCCATATTCTCTATAACAGACTACGTACTTAATGCTATAGAATATTCTCCATTAAATGTTCCCGGTGGCAAGCCTTTATGATCAATATTCCCTTCGGGGACAACCGAGATTGTTGTCCCCGGATTCGATTTCTATTTGCCTTGTTTTTCATCTGTCTCCGATTCCACGTGCCGCTCTATTATGTGAGTATTTAATATGAACATATTTTGTCCTATACAGATAGTA